CAGTAATCACGTAACGTGATGTATTGCAACTATTGTAAATATGCCAGTTGCCAAGCATCCAAATTTTGATCATGTGACCATGGGGATGCTATGATGGTTGTAATATGAGAATCAGTCATAAGTAACTTTTTTCAGTGCTGTAAACTTCAAATGGTTGCTAAACGAAAGGCTGTAAATTGAGGACTACCTGTATGAAAAACAATAGAATCAGTGAGTTTCTGACTGAAGGTTTGTTCCTGCTGCAAGCCTTATTTAGCAAAACAGCTGTTTTCTGGAAAGTGTATTGTTTACTTTCTTATTCTAAACAAAAATACACAATCACTGTTGCAAACAGGTCTCCAAAGGAAGAAAAATATGGTTGGCACCACCAAGCTAATATTGGAAATGGGAATAATGGATGGGGAAAATGTTCTGGTCACCGAGATTAGCTATTGTTTTACAGGATGTAGGCTTATTAGTTTTTATGTTCCCATAGTCGAGTTCTGTAATCATCCTGGTCTACATGAAAAAAAATATTAAAATAATTTCTGAGGGGTAGTGAATAGGAGTAAGAATTTTGTATTCCAGTATTATACTGCAAATGGTATCCACTTGTGGTTAGGATCCCACGACCCTCCAGATATTACTAAACTGGAATTTCCAACATCCTTCCCCAGACCAAATTCAGTTCAGCAACGTCTGGAGAGCCACAGCTTCCCCGTCTGTGCCCAAGAAGTAGAAACAGTGATCCTCTGTGTTGGAACAGACAGCTATTAGAGGCTACAACTATTTTGTTTTAAATGTTGGGGACCACTGGCAAGTTATTGGTAGTGGCGTCACCCAACGTGCTAGAGCAGGGGTGTCAAACTCAATTTCATTGAAGGACGCATCAGGGTTGTGTTTGACCTTGGAGGGGTGGGGATGGCAAGGGTGTGTGCGGTCAGATTGACATCACTCATGTTGGGGGCGCCTGTGAAGGCCTCCTGCAACCTCTGCCAGTGAAAATGGAGCTCGGGAGGGCCACTCCATTTTCACTGGCAGAGGCACCGTGGGCCAGTCCTTTGCTGTTTCCAGGGCAGCCCCATGGGCCAGATCTAAGCTCTCCGCAGGCCGGACCCGTCCCCCGGGTTTTGAGTTTGACACCCCTGTGCTAGAGGCAGGGTGGATAAAAATCAATGATTATTTTTAAAAAATCAAAAAAATCAGATTTTTTTTATTTAAATCAGATTTTTTTGATTTTTATCGAATTTATTTTAATAAAAAACTTTGGGGGTAAAAATCTATCGTAAGATAGTTTTCTATTTAAGATACATAAATAATTTAGTTTATTCAGCATGAAATGGAGCTTAGTTATGTAGCATGAGGCTGTATATTCTGCAACACTGGGACTATCGGTGAGTCAACAGTGGGTCAAAGGAGTAGCAGAGATGACAGTTGCTCTTTAAAAATTATGATTTAAATCGAGTTGATTTAAATCAAGCCTTTTTACTAGTGATTTAAATCAACTTGATTTAAATCAAATCCACCCTGCTATGTATTATAAAATCTTCCCCTCTTTAGCTAGCAACATAATAATAAATAATGTAGGGAACCAGGCAGGTAATTGAACACATTTATTTAATTAATTCATTATTAAACCCTGGCAAATTGTCAGCAATACGTTGAAATGCCATGTTGCCACGGTATATAGTGTCCTCTAAAAATACAGTATAATGGCACAGATTTTATAATGTTGGTGGGCAGTACTTTGGTTTTCTGTCTTAGGAACCAAAATACATCAGGTTACTTATGAACATCGGTCTGTAGAGATGCCTCACATTGCTAAAGACAAATATTGCTTCGTCAGACTTGATGACAAAATGGTTGTTGCTAGTGGCTGCTTTTACCTCTTATCTTCAAGATGTTCCATCTGAATAATTGCCACCAAGCATCCCAAAGTGCCACTTGCTGCCTGCAACACTGCAGCATGGTGCTCTAAGTGGACAAAATCTACATTTATGGCTTTTTATATCAATTAGAAATCCATTTCTTCAAGACGCTTGGTCCTTAGGGACCTTCAGATCTTCAAAATTATCTCTTTCCTCACAACTAGACTCAGGCTGGAAGAAGGTTGTGCTGTAAGGGATATATAAGCATCTTAATGTGTCCATAATTGCACGCGGACATCTCACAGACTTTACTGTGAATTGTAGCTATGGAGAGTTACAGTTTTCTACTAAAACCTCACATTCCAAACTTTGGTTTGATAAGAATTATGTTCAAACCAAGACTAAGGTAATTTCAGCATGTAAATGTTTCCGACGTCCCGATATAGTCAGCTGGTGCCATTGCTGACTATTGGGGGCGAATCATTGGCCCCCACGGAAAGGGCTCGCAACTTGGGCGTCCTCCTGGATTCACGGCTGTCTTTAGAAGAGCACTTGACGGCCGTGACTGGGAGGATTTTTCATCAGGTCCGCCTGATCCGCCAGTTGCGTCCCTTTCTAGATCAGGACTCCCTACACACAGTCACTCATGCCCTCGTCACCTCTCGTCTGGACTATTGTAACGCTCTCTACATGGGGCTCCCCTTGTGGTGCACTCGGAGGCTCCAACTGGTGCAGAGTGCGGCCGTGCGGGTGGTTATGGGAGCAACATGGAGCTCCCATGTAACACCTCCTGCATGAGCTGCACTGGCTCCTGGTGGTCTTCCGAGTGCGCTTCAAGGTTCTGGTTATCACCTTTAAAGCGCTCCATGGCTTAGGACCTGGTTATCCACGGGACCGCCTGCTACCACCAATAGCCTCCCACCGGCCAGTACGCTCCCATAAAGGGGGGCTCCTCCGGGTGCCGTCGACTGGTGGCCCCTAGGGGGAGAGCCTTCTCTGTGGGGGCACCTAGGATCTGGAACGAGCTCCCCCCGGAGATACGGAGGATCCCAGATCTGCGCACCTTCCGTCGCGCGCTTAAAACATTTTTATTTCATCAAGCTGGCCTGGCCTAAATCTTCTCCTGTTTTAAATATAAATTTTAAATACAAATTTTAATCTGTTTAAATTATGGGGTATTTTAAATTCAGCCAAATTATTTAATTTGTTTTTAATCTATTTTAAATTTTTGTATCTCTGTGTTTTATCTTCTGGCTGTTCACCGCCCTGAGTCCTTCGGGAGAAGGGCGGTATAGAAATTTAATATAATAAAATAAATAAATAAATGTAAAAACATCTAGTTTTATCATGATTCTCCCTCTTGTAAAATTGTTCATTTACTAAAAAGAAAAAGGAAAAGAAAAGAATTAATAGAAGCTTCTGGGAGAAAAACAAAACAAAATGACCCACTAGTGACATGACACGGCTCCAACAGGTAGTAACAAATTAGGATGATCATCTGTTCTGGCATCTTATTTCTTGCATTCGGATAAACCTGGTTCCAGTGCGAATGATTTAATCTGTTTGGAATCCTGGATGAGATATTTTGGCAACTTAGTATTCCTTTGGTGGGTGATTTTCTTGAGCTTTCTATCCCACTTGGCCCCTGGTTTGACAATCAGAAATCCAAAAACCAATTTATCAGTTGTAAAGTGGCAAAGCTCCAGGTAAAGCAGGGGGTCAAACATGAGTTGTCACATGGACACGTGATGTATCGTAACTTTTTTCCCCTTTGCTAAAACGGGTGTGGGTGTGGCCAGTGTGTGATGCATCCGGCCCACAGGCCACGAGTTTGACACCCCTGAGGTAAAGATATGATTTTGCCAGTGTCACTGAATAACTGACTGACTCTATATTGGTCCCTATGTTTATTGCTATTAAATAACTCTTTATTAGTCTCCAAAGACTGACGTCATTGTGTCATTGTTCCTATATACTAGAAAGGCAATACAGAAGGCAAAACCTTGCTAATTATTGTCCAATTGTAATATTGTCAATAATTAGTAAACTCTATCCTTGATTTTTATACCATAAATGTTTAGATTAGAATATTTTAGTTCAGGAACAAGCAGGTTCTATTTTAGGATATTCCACCATATCAGCGTGCAATTTTGCACAATTTAGCTGAAAAAAACCCCTCCAGACCTACTTGTTGTTGCCTTTATTGATTGATTGATTGATTGATTTAATATAACTTATATGCCGCCCTATCTCCATAGGACTCAGGGCGGCTCACAACAATTAAAACAAACCAATAAAAACATAAAATACATACATAAACAAATATTAAAATAATCAAAAAACCCCTCAGTCCAGGCTAGGCACCGCGAACAGCCATGTTTTTAATTCGCGGCGAAAGGTGCGGAGGTCAGGAGCCAGCCGGAGCCTCAGGGGGAGTTGATTCCAAAGGGTGGGCACGCCCACAGAGAAAGCTCTACCCCTGGGGACCACCAGCCGACAATGTCTAGCTGACGGTACCCAGAGCAGGCCCTCCCCCCTGATGGGAAGCTGTTGCTGGTTGCTGGTTGCAGATGGTCCACCAAGTAACCTTTAAGGACAACCTTTAATCCAGTTGCTTGTAAAATACTGTGGAGGAAATTAGCTACAACCTCAAATAATTGTTGCTTTCTCAGGTTGATAATTTTATTACTTGAAAATATTACACTATAGATTAGAGGCAAATGTGTCAGTGTGTCTGCTCAGATATAGCAGTTGAGTCAGTATCGGTGTATCATTACAGTGCCCATTGTATCACCTATGACATCTGATTATCAGAAAGTTGTTATCTCTCTGATCAAGGAATTACAGTCTTCCTTCCTTGCAGTCTTCCTTCTGCAAGATGTAAGCACTATAAAGTTTGCCAAGTTTCTAGCAATAGCTATAGCTTGCAGAAGCTGGTTAGTATTCCTTTTTCATTCTTCATTGTTTCAGGGCTGATTTTTCTGTATTTTAAAATTTATATTTGTGCTTTATTGTTGTTGTACTCTAAACAAATGATAGGATTTGATTTCATTTGCTTATATTTCTTCGGAATTTCTCCAATGGCTACTAATTTGTGCAGTTTTTCTGTTTGCAATGAGTGCTATACATTTTCCCATTCTCTTTTGTGACTAGATGGCATGATCGGAAAGAAGAAAAAGAATAAGCTGGGTTGCTGACACAACATGGAAGAGCCATTCACTGTGAGTTCCTTGGTAAGGATGAATGCTTTATAATATAGGGAAAACTGCTGATCAGGCAACACGTCTGCTGGGCTTTTGTAGAACAAGCATTCTATTCAAATTCAAATATGTCCTGGGATGCACCGATTCCCCAAATCTAGTAAAGATGCATCTAAGTTACTCCCGGTGGTTCATAATGTTGTCCTTTATTGCTATTGCTATGAAGATGCTGCTTTCAATAACAGTTTCTTAACCTTAGGCTTTTCAGCATGAATCATGGTTGTTTTTTTTATCTCTCACGGTCATCTCCATTAGAGAACAATAGAGCACTAGCTCACATTGATTTTAAAAATAGAGACCGAAAGGTTCATTGTTAAAATGCATTTGCGTAAGTGTACATGAAAGAGAAGAAAAAAAAAAACCCCAGGGAATGCAACACAACAGACCTTACTGTGGTTGCATGTCAGTTGCAATAAGTGTCAAGGTAATTATGCTTTTGATGAGTGTGTGTGTGTGCATGTGCATGCATGCATACAATGCAGTGCAGGGGTGAAATTCAGCAGGTTCTGACAGGTTCTGGAGAACCGGTAGTGGAAATTTTGAGTAGTTCGGAGAACCGGCAAATACCACCTCTGGCTGGCCTCAGAGTAGGATGGGAATGGAGATTTTGCAATATCCTTCCCCCAGGAGTGGGGAGGGAATGGAGATTTTGCAGTATCCTTCCCCTGCCACACCCACCGAGCCACACCCATGAAGCCATGCCCACCAACCCACGCCACGCTCACCAAGCCACGCCCACAGAACCGGTAGTAAAAAAAAATTGAATTTCACCACTGATGCAGTGGAAATGTTTGTTTTAGCATAATCATTTATTTTGCAGGGATTTTGTGGAAACATAATGACAGCTTCTTCTTAAAAGCATGGGGTGTACCTAGCCCATAATTTCATTCGCCTGTCAGAAATATTGAACATACATGAATCAAAGTCACCTGTCAAAATAAAGTGCAATGTATGACCTCTGCTTTAACAGAAAAAGCTAGCAGCTATTCCTGACCACACAGATATTTCCTTGAGCCCAGAGGAGCGTGTCCGTGCCTTAAGCAAGCTTGGCTGTAACATCACAATAAATGAAGACATTACACCCCGACGCTACTTCAGATCCGGTGTGGAGATGGAGCGCATGGCTTTCGTCTACCTGCAAGAGGGAAATCTTGAAAATGCCTTCGTCCTCTACAATAAATTTATAACGTAAGGATCAGTTTGTAAATACGTACTTTAAAATTTAGAAATTATAAGTATTTTATTACCTTGGTAGAGGACTAGCAGAACATACTGATTTATTTATTTATTTATATATTGGTTCGATTTATATGCCGCCCTTTTCCGGAGACTCAGTGTGGCTTACAATGCGTTAAGCAATAGCCTTCATACTTTTATATATACCTGCTTAGTAGGGCTTTCGCCACCCCCTCCCCAAGTGGTGTTCTTTTTTATACAAAGTCAGCTTATGGCCCCCACAAACCGGGTACTCATTTTACCTACCTCGAAAGGATGGAAGGCTGAGTCAATCTGGAGCCTGGTGAGATTTGAACTTGCAGTAATTGCAGGCAGCTGGTGTTACTTAACAGTGCTTTAGTCTGCTGCGCCACCAAGGCGCATTAGGACTGTGCAGTCCTTTGGATATAATTTCAGAAAGGTTTTGGGGCATGTGAGGTCATGAGAGAAAGCACTGATTTGCAACTGTCTAGAAGCAATCACATCTTTTTCCATTAATCCATGGCTGCTGCAGAATAACCCCATGAAAAGATGCAACTGCTTCCAAACAGGTGCTGTGCTTCATATGCTCAGAAACTGAATATGAAACTTTGCATAGTCTTAATAACAAGAAGTCTAAATCTGGTAACTCCTAAATGATCGTGAATTAAATATTACCATAAACTGGAGATCATCATTAAAACTGTGGATATGTCTACAATTATACATACATACATAAATACAAGATCTCTGGAAAAGGTTATTTGTTTGAATTCAGTTTTATTAGTTGACTGTTCTGGAGGTGTGGAAAGTCAAGCATGCTGCTGTGCCATGCATCTGACATTTTTTTTTTTTAATTTGATTTATATGCCGCCCTTCTCCGGAGACTCAGGGCGGCTTACAATGCGTTAAGCAATAGCCTTCATCCTTTTGTATATTTATACAAAGTCAGCTTATTGCCCCCACAAACTGGGTCCTCATTTCACCTACCTTAGAAAGGATGGAAGGCTGAGTCAACCTTGAGCCTTGGAGAGATTCGAACCAGCAGTAAATTGCAGGCAGCTGTGTTAATAACAGGGTGCGTAGACCACTGTACTATCAAGGCTCTTACCAAAGAGACATTGTTGGTATTTGAGGAGGGGAGGAAATATTAGGGAGTCAACTAATGCTTGCTATACTTGAAAAGGAGAGGGTAATGTGGTGAAAAGAAAGATTGCTTTTTGGTAAATGTAGACATGCAAAAATACCTTCTGAAAGTTGGCATTGAGTATAATTTACAAACCATTTCTTTCAGAAGAGTTCCACTAAAAATAGTGACACTGCACCATAATAAATAATATGATTCCAAACAATTATAAGGTTCCCTCTGTCCGGCAGTATCCAACTCCCAGGGGCAATGCTTATCTCCATTTCCTGGCCAAGGGAGCCAGCATTGTCCAAAGACACTTTCTGTGATCATGTGACCAGCATGATTATACATTGAGGGCAGGGGTGAAATCCAGCAGGTTCTGACAGGTCCTGGAGAACCAATAGCAGAAATTTTGAGCAGTTCAGAGAACTGGTAGTGGAAATTTTGAGTAGTTTGGAGAACCTGTAAATACCACCTCTGGCTGTCCACAGAGTGGGGTGGGAATGGCGATTTTGCAGTATCCTTCCCCTGGAGTGGGGAGGAAATGGGGATTTTGCAGAATCCTTCCCCTGCCACACCCACCAAGCCACACCCACCAAGCACGCCCACAGAACCAGTAGTAAAAAAAATTGGATTTCACCACTGATTGAGGGGCGCTGAACACTGTTACCTTCCCACCAAAATGGTATCTATCTATTCACTTGCATTTGTATGCTTTCGAACTGCTAGGTTGGCAGGAGCTAGGGCAAGAACGGGAGCTCACCCCATTATGCAGCGCTTGGGTCTTGAACTACCAACCTTCTGGTCACCATCACAAGACTCTTGGCTTATGCCTTCAAGGGAGCAGTTCTTTGCATTGATGAGGCCCTTCACAATTGGTATCATTAGATGCAGGGGTACCACAGTGTGCATCTCACATGGAAATGAATCTCCCATTCCTTCAAGGCCTCTTCTGGTACTTCCAGTTACCTTCTGGTCGAGGTGGAAGAGGCTTCTGCCCATTCATCATTTCCAACTGTTCAGATGGCCAAGTGAAGCTTTGGTGTGACCATTTTGTGTTTAGAAGGAGGTGGGGGTGAGTAGAGATCCCTTTCCTGAACAGTTTCAGAGGGGCACATGCTATGGACTTTCAGAATAGCAAAATATCCCTTCAAAGCTCTGAATATTCTGTTATGGTCTTTGAGCCCGAAGGTTCTCAACAATGGAATAGCAGTGCTGCTAATTTAAACTTCAAAGATACAGAAAGCTGCTGTGAATGAAAGAAGAAGAAAAACCTTCCTTCTAACCTCATTCATCTATTTTGCAATTGTCTCAGTGGAAAAGCATTAGTATTGTTCATCAGGCTTGCAAAGGGATAAATGTGTGTGTGGGTTTTTTTTTTTTTTCAGTTTGTTTGTAGAGAAGCTGCCATGTCACCGAGACTACCAGCAATGTGCAGTTCCAGAGAAACAGGATATTATGAAGGTAGAGTGTCTTTTTCAAAAGAAATGGCCATCTAGGGGGATTTCTCTCTTTTGCAAGGATGACTAATGAAAAAAAAACCCTGACAGTGGCCTAAGAATGTTGGATGCTCTTATTGAGCCTGTTAAGATTCAAATTTACAAATTGTAATCAGTATTTTATTTTTTTGATGCTAGGTTCAAGCTTGAGTTTTTTAAAAAAAAGCATTAGGGCCAAATCCTGAAAGTTAGCAATCTATAATCTGAAGAAAGTTTTGTCTATTACCCAAAGGTGGAATGCAGGTAGTCCTTGATTTATGACCACAGTTGACCCCAAAGTGAGTCAACTGAGCTAAGTGAGACTTGTTAAGTGAATTTTGCAACCTTACATGCCACAGTTGTTAAGTGAATCATTGCAATTAAGTTAGTGACACGGTTCTTAAATGAATCTGGCTTCCTCATTTGCTCGTCAGATGGTCACAAAAAATGTTCACACTGCCCCAGGACATTGCAATGTCATACTTATGAATCAGTTCCCAAATGTCTGGATTTTGATCATGTGACCATTGAGATGCTTTAACGATCGTAAGTGTGAAAAATGGTCGTAAGTCACTTTTTTCAGTGCCTTTGTAACTTCAAACAGTCACTAAATGAATGGTTGTAAGTCAAGAACTACCTGTAGTTGCATATTCCTTGTGTTAATAGTAGAGTAAAGATTAACCTGCCATTTAATTTCAACCTTATTGATAAATACTCTGCAGCTGGAACTGTTTCATTTTCCACAAGTATTTTTTTTTTTTTGGATCAGCCAAATTGGTTGCCACAGAAATTGACCACCCAGTTTGTCTGTGGGGTCTACGGTATTATCATTGGCTGGCTCACCCAGCTGACTTTCATGACTAAGATGGGACTAGAACTCAAAGTTTCCTAGTTTCTAGCCTAAATCTAATTTAATACTATGCTAGTAAACCATTTATTCTACTTGTAGGATCCGATTAAGCTATTTGGCACATGAAGCAGCAGAAGTATTGTTTGTATATGTTTGTGTGTATGTATATGTGTATAAAGTTGCATTTTATTTCTCTTACTTTCTCTCTAACAAAGAAACTGAAGGATGTAGCATTTCCAAGGACTGATGAATTGAAGAAAGAGCTGTTAAAGAAATACAATGCAGAATACCAAGAATATATGCAAGATAAGGTACCTTTTACTTTTTAGCTATATAGATAAGTATCAACTCTCTAATACATTCCTTGAATATCAGTGCCAAAGCAAAATTATAAATTTATGTGGTGAAAGCTACTACAAACTAAATAGCAATTTTAAAACTGTTATCATTCATTTTGGTTTGGGCAAAGTGACTGCTTTTGCCTTTAGATAAAGAAAGTTGATGTGGCTTTATAATCAATTTTATAAAAGTGTTATTAGGTCTTGAAGCATCAACATCTTCCATTGAGTGATGCTATATCAGGCCAAGCTCTGAGATAAAACAGTGAAATCCAGTTGAGTCCAATTCTTTATTTGCTTACACCTAAGAGACAGAATCTTGCCAGACTAAAGCCGTATCTTCTAACCTAATAGATGTATCTTAAGATTCTAGGGTGAATCTCTTGTTCTGAATCTCTTCTTACCGCCCACCACACATCTTGAAACTGAATAGTCTCTTAATTAGGTTTCTCTCCTCCTCCCTGGGAAACCATGGTGCTCCTGAAAATCTCCTCATCCCACCACATGCTGCTAGTCCTTTTTGTGTAATGTGTGTGGGAATGACTTTGGCAGATAGGAGGAATTGCCACAGACAAGACAACAGTGAGATAAGAAGCATCTGAGTTTGCAGAAGGATTGTGGGTGTGGCAGGTACGTCAGAAGGGACCCTTCTCTAGTTTCTTGGATTGTAAAAACAAGGGAAAGGGGAAAGATACAATTTCAGACTTGCAAGATTCTGTTAATATAACCTTAACAATCAAGGTGGAACTAGTGAGTGTGCTTCTTGTCTGGACTAACTCCCAAGGCTAACATTTATCTTCTTTCACATGGGGGTATCCGCAGAGGGAAGGGGGACCAAATGTCAAGGTACAACTATGTGATCCAAGCCCTTCCTCTTCATATGTGTATACAATGACACATATGTGCCTAAAGGCCTTTAATTGTGCAGGTACAGTCATTATCTTGGTTTCTTATCATTCCCCATCTATGGACACTCATTTGAGTTGATCATGAATGTCACACTGTCAGAATCAGAGAACTAGCTTTGCTAAGGCACCATACAGGTAGTCCTTGACATACAACAGTTCATTTAGTGACCATTTGAATTTACAATGGAAAAAAGTGACTTACGACCATTTTTCACACTTACGACCGTTGCAGCATCCCCATGATCACGTGATTTACATTCAGATGCTTGACAGCTGACTCACATTTATGACGGTTGCAATGTCATAAATGTGTCATGTGAGCCCCTTTTGCAGCTTTCTGACAAGCAAAGTCCATGGGGAAGCCAGATTCACTTAATAACCATGTTGCTAATTTAAGTACTGCAGTGATTCACTTAACAAGAAGCGAGAAAAGTCGTAAAACGGGGCAAAACTCACTTAACAAATTTATCACTTAGCAACTTAAATTTTGGACTCAATTGTGGTCGTACGTAGAGGACTACCTTTATTAGAAATTGGAAGACTGTGAGTTGAAGTTCGGCCTTAGCCATGAAAGCCAGCTGGCTGACTTTCTCCCTGAGCCCAACTCACCTCACAGGGTTGTTGTTCTGGGGAAAATAGGAGGAGGAACAAGTGTTGGCTATGTTCACTGCCTTGAGTTATTTGTAAGAATAATAAAGGCAGAACACAAATAAATACGTAAATAAGAGATACAATCCATTGTCATCTACCCATTGCAAGGACTGCCTTGTTCCAGTGTCAGCAATTGTTGAAAACACAGTGATTTATTTTGCCAATCTTTGCTGCTCTATTCCAGACAGAAGAACTAGATATATACTTTTCTTAAATACCTTTTTGTATCCGTAGGTGGTTTTATCGCTGTTTGAAAATTACAACAGCTCTCCTTTGGAGAGGCTGCTTAAAACCTATGAAAATAATTAGGTTTTAAGTTGGGGCCTAATGGCTCCCATTATTTATTTACAATTTAAAATTTTGTGCTGCCCTTTAGAACTAAGTTTTTACACTGCAATTTACAACCCATTAAGTTAAAATTAGTATTTCAATAATCATTAAGACAGACAGTAAAATAAACAAAAGCAGCAGCCAGAGCAGTTACAAGTTTCTGTGTACCATGAATATGAATAATTAACATATTGATATAAATGAAAAGGCCTGGGGGGGGGGATTCCTTGGTGCTGAAAACAAAGTAAGTCAATGCCAAGAATATTTCTTTGCTGAAATATTGCAGAGATGGAGAGTTATTGTTGATATTTACTAGAAGCAATTATATATGATTTTGTATCCTAACATTATATTGTTGGTGAAATTGTACTTGCTTTTGTATATGGAGTCTTCTTCCAATACTAAAACATTACAAGTTAAAATGTGTAATGAGTATGAAACAGGGTGAAATCCAGCAGGTTCTGACAGGTTCTGGAGAACCGGTAGCGGAAATTTTGAGTAGTTCAGAGGACTGGCAAATACCACCTCTGGCTGGTCCCAGAGTGGGGTGGGAATGGAGATTTTGCAATATCCTTCCCCCAGTAGAGGAGAGGGAATGGGGATTTTGCTGTATCCTTCCCCTGCCATGCCCACCAAGCCACGCCCACCAAGCAACACCATGCCCACCAAGCCACGCCCACAGAACCGATAGCAAAAAAAAATGGATTTCACCACTGGTATGAAATGTGCACCAAGACATAGCTTCTTCTTGATGCATGTGTAAATAGCAAAGTATATTTTCTTGTGGCACTTTTTTTTGTATGAATAACTTTCTAAAATGCAATGTAACTCTCCAGATTTATTTCATATGAGCCTAATGATTTAGTTAAGGTTACAGTTCTTTCCTGATATACCTGTCTAATATATATTTGTGATATAGATTTTTATTTTTATTTCCCAAATTCAAACTAAACATAATTTGAATAAATATGACCTAATGAAACTTGCAAAATGGGGCAGAGGGTGGCAAATAATTATTCAGATGTTAGAGTGGTATTGAATTCTAGCAGTCTATTATTGGGACTTCAATAGTCAGAATAAATTAAGCTGGAGAAAATCTGTAGTCCGAAGAATTAATCATCTTCCAGATCCAGATCCTTTGCTTTTAAAATCTATTTTAAATATAGAAACTTGACCCTTCCAGATGTTCCTGATTTGCAGCTGTTAGCAGTCCTCATCTTAGCCATGCTGGGCTAGGGCTGCTGGAGTTATCAACATCTGGAGAATGATGTTGCAACATCACTCTTCAGATGTTGATAACATCTGGAGATGTTCTTGGTAGATGCAGCGGATATTAAAGTATTCAGATCTATTACGATTAATGTTGTTTAAATGCATTGTACCCTCTCGCTTGGATTAACCCTGTTTTAGGTGACGACATGTTCTTTTAATGTATTCTATTTTGCAGAACAAAGGCAAAGCTGAGTTACTGAAGAAACTAGAGCAAGAGAAATTAATTGAGGCAGAAAAGAAGCGGATTGCACAGATCCGTCAACAGCAGCTGGAAACAGAACAGTTTCAATTCTTTGAAGATCAGTTAAAAAAGCAAGAAATAGCTCGTGGTCAGAAAACTAAGAATAATTCAGTTACATCAGAGCCAGCTGATGGGAACACGTTGTCATCTGCTCCACACCTGAACAATACTTTCCCCAAAATAATAGCAAACAAGTGTGATGCTTCTGCTAGTCAATCTCCTCCAATCAGTCGGGCCTTAAAGCCAGCTGCTACCTTAAGTGCCGTTCAGAGTAAGAAAGTATATTTTTTGTTGTTGTTTCTGTCAATAACCTTTCTAAGTTATTGGCTGAATAGGTTTTATAGATAATTCTATAGCAATAGCACTTAGCAATAGCACTTAGACTTATACACCGCTTCACAGTGCTTTACAGCCCTCTCTAAGCGGTTTACAAAAGCAGCATATTGTCCCCAACAATCTGCCTCCTCATTTTACCCACCTCGGAAGGATGGAAGGTTGAGTCAACCTTGAGGCTGGTGAGATTCGAACTGCCAAATTGCAGGAAGTTAGCAGAAGTAACTTGCTGTACTGCATTCTAACCACTGTGCCACCGCGGCTCTTAGACTTATATACAGCTTCATAGTGCTTTATAGTCCTCACTAAGCGGTTTACAGAGTCAGCATATTGCCCCCAACAGTCTGGGTCCTTATTTTACCGACCTCAGAAAGCGTTGACTTTGAGCCAGTTAGGATCGAACTCTTGGCAGTGGGCAGAGTTAGCCTGCAATACCTGCATTCAAACCACTCTGCCACCATGGCTCTTATCATTTCTTAGTATGTTTGGTTTGCAATAAAGAAATAAAAGATACATCAGGGCTAAAAAGTCTGTTTTGATCAGGATGCGTCAGATATAAGAGTCTTTAGATCGGCTGTAGTGCTGAACACTTAAATACCCACTCTAAAACAGCACACTGCCTGCTGAGTGCTTTTCAGATTATGTGGTATGAGAACAGTTCACACTGTAGACTGCTGTGTAAGTGTCGCTCTTCTCTTTGTTAGACGATGCTACTGAAGGACTGCGAAGTGTGGTTCTACCCAGTGATCTTTGTCACAAGTTTTTGCTGCTTGCAGACGCAAACACCGCAAGAGGAATAGAGACGTGTGGCATTCTCTGTGGAAAACTGGTACAATAAAACCTTCACATTTGTATGGCAAAGGCACTTTGAATGGTACTTCGACTGGAATGAGTTTTTGTTATAACAACATAATGAAAGTAGATCTGAAACATCTAGTGTACTGATGTGATAAGTGAGGGGTTTTTTTTCCTCCTCTGTGAGGGTCTTTTTGAGAAATCTTTTTGTGCTGCTTGCTAATTTCCTGGCAATATTGTTGAGACTGGAAAACCTGTAATTATTAAGCTATTTTCCTGCCATGTGCGCAGCTTCCTTTTTGTGATTCTGCATTGCATTTCTCTTAGTTTTTGTGAAATTTTATTAGAAGCAAAGTAATATTAAATACAATGATGGGAATGTTATGCCAGATTCTTGGGAGGGAAGGAAGAAAACCTTCTAGCAAATATAACTTGGATGTTTTCTTCTCTTTTCTTCTTTTTCTTTTTCTTTTGCCGTTGAATAAGGTTTCTATCATTAGCAGTGAAGATGTTTCTAAACCAGGGGTGTCAAACTCATGTCATCACAGCGGTGTCACATGACGTATCGGGACTTTTTTCCCTCTTTTCTAAACCAGGCGTGGGCATGGCCAGCACATGACGCATCCAGCCCATGTGCCGGGAGTTTGACAGCCCTGTTCTAAACCATGAGTTTCATATGAAATGCTGAACCCAGGACTTAAGGACATATATGTATCTGTATTACAATAATAATAACCAAACTAAAACTAAACAGAATTTAAAAATCCAGTCTGTAGCAGCTCTATTCTGTATACAGTAATATGGAGTGGAATTATCTGAGTTTAATAAGATTTCTCAAGTAAAACATTTAAAAATTATTTTTTATTTATATTGAAATTTATAAACTAGCCTCAAACAATTTTAAGATACTCAAGGGAAAAAAAAATCAGCCAAATCTGATAAAATTACTAAAAAAGCTAGGCCAATGATTCTGACCACACTTTTAGAAACTTCTGGATTCTGGGGGGGAAAAATTACAAATAATCAATGTGCTTTAGCCGAGACCTTCCTGGCATTTTTCCCAAGATCAGATCAGCACCAAACCTGCTGGCAATCAGGAAGGCCACCTGATCAGAAAGGCTATGAAGATCAGTAACATGATGAGGGGCCTATCTGTAGGATAGTTATCTATCTGATTGTTGCAGTGGGGAAATCTGAACTGGTTTGCTATCAGTTCACTGGCCGTGCATGCGCACTGCACGCCAAACGTGTGCTGTGTGCACATGCACACTGCGTACCAAATGCACATTTTGTGCACGGGCATGCAATACATGTCAAAAGGACGCTTGGGATGGTAAGTAGAAGCGAGGGGGGGGATCAGCTGTGGCGTGTGATTTAGCTTTGGTAGAGAGCAGGAAATCCTGCTGTCCAGCAAAGCTAAACCGTGCGGCATAGCTGATCATCGGAAATACTGGTTCGGAGGAACCGGTAGCTTTTTTTTTTTTACTACCGGTTCGCCCAAACTGGTAGTTTTTATCCCTACTGGTTCTCCTGAACCGGAGTGAACCGGTAGCATTTCACCCCTGGATTGTTGCTATGACTGTTGATTTTCCATGACGTGATGGGAAATGGGAAGATTTTGTTATTGTTCTTGGCTATCTGGTTTGTATTATAATTTTTGTGTTACTGGGGAAGTGGGGTTGATGGTTTTGGTACTATATAAGCCTTTTGGGTGATTGCAGACTATGTACATTCAGTAAGAAAATATATAATAAATTTTTAAGCTATAGGGATTTATTTAGAAGTTCTATAGAATATGCAGAACTAAATCATTTGACTCATCATCTGTGTTTGGGAATATTAATCAATACCTCGGTGAATCTTTGCCACTTAGCAAAGAGACCAATTATCTGTTATTCTTAGTAATGATTTTGTAAAACTTTCAAGCTGGGGTAAACCAATCCTTCACAGGAAGTGATGTAAAAGGAAGAACAGCTCAGAGAACTTCAGCAATTCAATATCTTTTACTTGTTGATTAAAGAACGATTTGAGTCTCTAAGACTTTGGGATGTTTGGCTGCAGTGGTTTAGAATGTGGTCTAGAAAAATATCCCATTAGGAATCAATACGTCTATTTTAAAATTAATTTTATTCTCAGTATTTCTTTACCACCATTACATATCTCTAGAAGACTTACAGATAATGGAAACAATTAAAGATATAAACATAATCATATCTCTCAAAAAATAAATAAAATATAAACTGCAAACTGGACAGGAAGGAAAGCATAGCTGTTAGTCTCCAGACATCTGTTGAAAAAGACATGTTTCTATCAGTTTATGTCCAAAGTAGAGGCTAGTTCAATCTTGGAAATAGGGAGAATGTTCCAGAGATTAATAATTGAATAGTATCCAAAATACATATGGACACATTTCTAAGAAGCTGTTAGAATGCAGTATTGCAGGCTGATTCTGCCCACAGCCCAGAATTAGATTCTGATGAGCTCAAGGTTGACTCAGCCTTCCATCCTTCCAAGGTCGATACCACCCACCGCCATCGCTACCGGATCGGGCGATCCGGTCCGAACCGGGAGCATTTCACCCCTGATTTGAACCCTCCTGGATTTTGAGGCATGAAAAAACTTCCACATCTCTAAGCTTGTTAGATTGTTCCCATTCTTTGTCATATATGTTTGTGTTGAGCTGTTCTCTTCATAAAGATCATAAATATGGCTTTTATATATAGCCAATAATCTTATCCTTATCTGAACAGAAGGAGGCAGCAGTTCTAAATTATTCCTTAGTCCAGGAAGAGAAGTTGAGAATATTGCTGCTGTTTCAGATTATAGAAGTACTAAAACAGCCCGACTGTGTGGTCATAGACCAATTATGTAATGTAACAAAACCTAAATGGTAGCACAGACCAAATACCATATTTTGCACAGCTTTAAATTCAATTCAAACCATTTTGAATTGAAATGCCTCATTGTGAAATGTGAAGTTTCCTAATTTGAATGAAAAATAAATAGCTGTTTTGAGATTAAAACAATATTTTGATATGTTTTGAACAAGTTGTGTTTTACACTCAGAAGAGAAATGTTAATATTAAAAAAACCCTTCTAAAATATACAAAACAGTCCATCATATTTTCAGGGGCAGACGTTTCACATTTGAAATAGGGTATTCTAAATTCAAAAGTATTCACCTCAAAACACCTTGTGCATTTCTGCTTTGAACTATTGAACTGCTTTTATGAGACTTCTGTATTCTGGGCAAGAAAATGGAATTTAAATAATAAGAATAAGGAAATAATAGTGTTTAATTAAAAAATAACACCTCCCATCTTTACAAGAAAATAGATCCATATCCTTTAAGAGTCTTCACTTAACTTACAGTATACAGCAACTATATAAATAAATAAGAAAGTAAGTTCTATGGTAGGCCACAAGATTTATTCTTGGATTTTCCAAGTAGGAATGGTAAACTTTTGTGTTATCAATCTGTACTGAACTAGAGCAGAGGTCTCCAACCTTGGCAACTTTAAGACTTGTGGATTTCAACTCCCAGAATTCCTCAGCCAGCTTTCAACTCCCAGGAATTCTGGGAGTTGAAGTCCACAAGTCTTAAAGTTGCCAAGGTAGGAGACCAGCCTCCCTAGTACAGGAACCTCCAGGGCCCCTGTTCTGCCTGTTGTTTTGATGATTCTTTGGTATTGATTGGGGTAAATGTGCACAGCTCCTGTGAAATAAATAGTTAAAAAATTTGATTGATGCCAATGCTGGTCTGGGGATTGAAGTACTTAAGATATTTCCTTGGACTTGTGTCTTACAGACTCATAATGAATTCACTATTACTCATGTAATCATACCAAAACAGTCTGCAGGACCAGACTATTGTGACATGGAGAATGTGGAAGAGCTATTCGGCGTTCAAGACCAACATGATCTTCTCACGCTGGGATGGATCCATGTAGGTAGAGATAAGTATGCTTGGCTAGATAGTAGACATTTCTTGCAGCAGGAGGAAATTCCACTGTAAGGTTGCATTTTCTTTAAGCTAATGTTCAGAGCTGCATGCCATCTAGTATAGACCAGATCAGCTTTCTTTCTCTCAGACAAACGTATCTTTGCATTATACATACATACATACATACATACATACATACATACATACATACATACATATGTTTGTATATGTATGTATGTGTGTTTTTATATTCATATGGACATTCTAACAGATGACATAGATTGGATTTGGGGCAAAATGTAACCTTTCTTCATTCAGAAGTGTCTCCCTTGATCCAAGTAGTCCTGAGAAAGTTTTATATTGAAAAATGTTTCCAAATAAGATCACTCCAGAAGAGATGATGATGTCAGGTGTGGAATGAGTGACAGGAGGTCAGGTTAGAAGGATGCCATGTTCTTTATCAGTGATGGTTAACCTTTTTAGTGCCGAGTGCCCAAAGAATGCGCACTCGTGAGGAAATGCTCGTGCATGTGCCCGAACCCCCAAAATGCAATGCGAGTGCCCCCCCGTGCATGCGCCCCGCCCCGTGTATGCACGTGTGTCAATCATGCATGCGCCCCAGGCCCCCCCGCACCCTCTTGGCTTCCAGGTTAGTGCAGGAGGCTTTCCAGGGCCAAAATGAGGCACGGGGGGGGGGCAGGCCCCGTTTTGGGCCTGGAAAGCCTCTTGCACCAACCTGGAAGCCAAAATGGGGCGCTGAGCAAGCCCCCACACACACACCTCCTCCACCAACCTGCACCCCGCGCATGTGCCCCACCCCCTGCGCATAAGCACACATTCCCTGCATGCATCCCGACCCCCATGCATGCACGGCAGAGATCCTAAAACCAGCTGGCCAGTGGGAGGCATGCGCGCATGTGCGGTGGAGCTGGGCTGGGGCGATGGCTGGAGTGCCAGCAGAGAGGGCTCTGTTTGCCACCTGTGGCACGCCTGCCATAGTTTCGCCATCAAGGTCCTATATCAATGATTTTCTACTCCACCGTTAGAGCAACAACATTTAAAGATACTGTTTGAATAAAGTTCAAATTTGGCGATTGTCTTTTTTCCTCCTTTTCCTTAAATCTCAGTCAGTTCTTTTAAAATGAGATCACTGTTCTTGGGACGTGGCTTTGAGACTTGCTAATTAGGTACATCTCTATTAGTTACAACATTAATGTTGTATGGCATCAAGTCACTGTGTATGAGTAGGGTAGCTAAACATGTTTAATAAATAAACATGGAAAGCTGTCCTGGGTCAATATTAAAGAACATTTTCTGTTATGGTATCAGCTATTTGGAACATCATCCCCATGGAGATTAGATTGCTTCAGCTCTATCGGTCTTTCTTAAGGCCTTGAAGACATCTCTATGTCACCACCAGATGGTGGCTGGATTATATAGCAGAGCCTGTGAGGTGGTTATGTAAATGTTGACTTGATAGTGTTTTGGTTTTATTTCAGCTGCCAATTATGTATTACATTTTCGTATATGTCATTTTAAACTTTTGATAGCTACCCGGAATCATGCTTTGACATTGTGAGAGGAAAGGATGCCTACAAAATGGCCACCATCTATGACTGCTGTCTCTTTAAAATTCTTCATAGCCAGCACAGCAATTGCTGGCTATAAAAGTTGAGCAGAGAGACAGCTGGGTAGGGTGTTGTTTCTGGGTGGGAAAGAGAGAGAGAAGGAGGTAGGTATATGTTTGTAAAGCAGCCTGAAGCTGATAGAAAGAGATACTATTCTCCGGCAGTAGGACTCACAAGGAGTAATAGTTGGAGGAGCAGTAGGAGGAGGTGTAGCAGCAATGGGGAAGAGTGGAATAGAGAACATAGAGCCTGTGTGTGCTTGGGAGTGGATTACCTAAGGACTTGTGGTGTTGTGTTAGCTCTCTTATGTTTTGAAATCCACTGACTTGGGTATACTTAAAAGAACCTGTGACAGAGAGGATGAAATAAATAACATTTATTTATTATTTAGTAAATAATAAGTGGGTGCAGCTAATTCTGACTTCTTTCTTTTGTATTCATAAAATAGACCAAAAGTCACACTCTATGTAAAATGTTGCCTTTCTCTGCAGTCCCATCCAACCCAGACTGCGTTCTTATCCAGCGTTGATCTTCACACGCATTGTTCTTATCAGCTGATGCTGCCAGAGGCCATTGCAATTGTTTGTTCACCAAAACATAATGAGTGAGTTTGAGCTTCCTTTTCCATCCTCAGATAACTATGTTCAGATAATTAGTTTCTTGTGTTCTATACTATGTGTTCTTAGTTTATTGTGTTCTATATCGACTGTAAAATGTTCAAGAAGGCAAGCAATGGAAAAAAGGGGGAAATGCATATTGTACGAGTTTCAATCTTTACAGATAATGGTATGCATTTTTAGAATCAAATTTAATTCCTGAATATTCTTTGTTATGTTATGCCTTCTGTTATGCCTTCCCATACTGCTCTCTCTCTCTCTGTTTTATTAAACCTGAATAGTTTTATTATTGAACCTCAGGTTCTCAAATCGCCTATCTCACTTTTTAGTTTTTTTGGGGAAGAAAATATTAGGGGTAGATGAATAGACATAGAGATTTAATAGAAGTCTTCCTTCTCCTCCATGGGCCATAGAAGAAACCTTTGTTAATCCTGCTCTGTGCTCCAATCCATGTTGTTATAGTCCAGAAATGTCTCATTAAATGGTAGTGACACTTTTATGTTTGCGGTCTTTTTTATATTTTTTATATTTATTTACATCCTTTACATTAAATATGCCAGGGATTTACCTTTTTCATGTAACATGCAATACGTTTAGCCTTGATTAAATCATGGTTCGTTTTTAAGTTGTGGATTTTTCAAAAGTAGGATATTTCATTTGTCATTTTAACATTTTTGCTGAAGCAATCAAAATACTGTAGACCTCTGGCCCATCATTTCAGAGATCACTTAAATCATTTGCAATGCAATTGTGCTAGAGGAATGACTATCTTAATTCAGGGAAAGTTTATCTTTGCAAGGAAGCCTCTCGGCATGAGAAGGAAACTTATTTCTGAGCATTAGATAGTCCTTGGTTGTCATAGTATTGTAGTGACAGGTTTCTCAACAAGGTGACTCGTCATTAATGTAATTTTCAAAAAGTGACTTGAATTGTTGAGTAAATGGCTTCTCTCAGTACTGTATGTTGTGTCTCCATTAGTAGCCAGCTGCAAATTCAATTTGCAGGCAGATTCCATTAAGTTATTGTGTTCTTTGGGCAACTGAGATCAGCACTATCTCCTATAGATGATAGTTGGGTTAGTGCTGCTTTCTTAGATGTAATATCCGCCAGGCTGGGCTATCAATGTAAAGATTTTAATTGGTTTTAAATGGGATTTTAAATTTGGAGTTTTATAAATTGGGCCTATTATTTAATTATTTTAATTATTTTAAAATTTTGTCTGTCTTTGTGTTTTTAATTAGGCTGTACACCATCCTGAGTCCTTCAGGAGAAGGGTGGTATAGAAATTAATTAATTAATTAATTAAATAAATAAATAAATAAATAAATAAATAAATAAATAAATAAAAATATTTCTTTTGTTTTCTAGGGTGGGAATCTTCAGACTTACTAATGCTGGCATGTTGGAAGTTTCTGCTTGTAAGAAGAAGAGCTTTCACCCTCATACCAAGGATCCTAGGCTATTTAATGTAAGGGTAGCAGCATATTAATATTTAACATTCTGTACATTCACTGCCCCACTATTCAAACATGCAGAAATGTGAATGTAGTATAAGTTGAAATCTAATTTCTTCTTCTCTAATCTAGTTCATCCAGATCAGGGCTGTCAAACTCGCGGCCTGCAGGCCGGATGTGTCACATGCTGGCTACGCCCATGCCCAGTTTAGCGAAGGGGAAAAAGTCATGATTCATCATGTGACAACACCATGACAACACGAGTTTGACCCCCCCGATCCAGATGGTCCAATTCATATCACCACCCAGCTTGGAGAAATCTCAGATTTATATTTTGGCAGGAAGATTGAAAAGAATGGCACTAGGACGGACATTAGTTCAACAATACTTAGATATGTGTTCATTTCATACATCAGTATATTTGTTAATTTGGATAGGAAGCGGAAATTCAAATGCAAATTCAAACATGCCTGCAGTGAAGATACAGAAATTCTGCCAAAACTGCTAAAGGCAAATGTTACCTTGCAGACACATTGAGAAACCCTTGCAGAGGGTCAGATGCAGGATGTAGAAATTAAAGTGGGTCATACTGATTTGCTATAGCTGCTGTTCCCAACCCCTCACCTTCCAGATGTTTTGCACTGCAATCTGTAGAATTCAGAGTTTGCTAACAAGATAGTCTTGAGAGCCTTTTCTTCACTATTCCTGTCTTGTTCATATTCTAAACCTCTGTAAAGGTAAAAGATATACCGCTCAGTGTCATTCTGTGAGTGAGATGGATGCTCTCTCAATGAGGATGCTTACCACAAGGAGGTAGAGGGTTTAGTGAACTGGTGTAACAAAAACAGCCTCATTTTAAACATAGAAAAAACTAAAGAGGTTATTGTTGATTTCAGAAAAGGCAGGCATAGCCATACATCTCTACATATAAATGATTCACCTGTGGAGGTAGTTAGCAACATCAAGTTTCTGGGTGTGCAGCTTACAAGTAGGCCAGCTTGGTCACTCAACAGTGAAATACTGGTAAGGCTGGCTTAGCAGCATCTACATTTTCTATGTCGCATGAGAAAAGTACATCTTCCTTCCACCGTCCTTACCAGTTTCTATAGAGGGATAATTGAAAGCATCCTGTCATATGGCATTACAGTCTGGTTTGAAAGCATTACTGCTTCAGACAGGAAGACGGTGCAGAGAGTGGTGAGGATGGCAGAAAAGATCATTGGCAGTTCACTTCTGTTTATCCAGGACATAGCATATAAGCGATGCTTGAGCAAAGTCTGCAGAATTGTCTGGGATGCTACACATCCTCTTCATGACCCGTTTTCCTTGTTACCTTTTGGGAGGATGCTTCATGGTATTCAAAGCAGAACCTCTAGATCAGGGGTGTCAAACAGGTAGCCCGTGGACCGGATGTGTCACATGCAGGCCACGCCCACCCTGGCTCCCCAAAGGCAAAAAATGTTGTGATACATCGTGATACATCACGTGACGCAATCAAGTTTGACACCCTTGATCTAGATTCAGTCAATTTTGTTGCATACAGCATCAACCTTGTGAACTCTCAAGATATATATATATATATATATATATATATATATATATATATATGTATGTATGTATGTATGTATGTATGTATGTATGTATGTATGGTGCAGGTATATATTTATGTATGTATATAGCATGTGTATATGTATGGGTTTGGGTTTGGGTAGATATAGACTTTCCCTTGAGAGCAGGCAACAGAATTTCATTTTTAATGAAATTAGAAATGAAATTCCGGTGTGCTCTCAGTAAAAAAATGACAAGTTATCTTATCTCTAAATTTGATAAATGTCAAATCATTTGCTCAAAATTGAAATGTAAGAATACCCTGTAAAAAGATATACTGTATTAAAAACTAGCATAGTTGCCAAGATTGTTGGATATGTGTGTGGAGAGAGGGATTTGTCTGTTTTCATATAACAAAGATATAGATTTAATAGATAATTATTCATTTTCAAAATGAACTTACTCCTCTTCCTACCATAGAAACCAAGATTGGATGATAGCCATTTGTCCCATGGAACTGTTTATATTATCCTACAAAAAAAAGTAAATTACCTTTCTTACAGATTATAAACCTTCCTACATCCCAGCATCCTCATGGTTTATTATGGAGAAAGTTAGATAATCAGAAGAACTAGGTCTGTTAAATCATGGATACCACCAAACCAGATGAGCAATGTGGTTAGGTTTACACTGACCAGAAATCTTGAAAATAGGTAACAGTACCTAAATAATGTTGGCTTTTACTATCTCAAGAACTAAACCAAGTTAGACCTTAAAACAGAAAATCTTCAGGAAGTTTCCATTTATCAAGTTGCGTTAAAAATAATCCCAGAAGCTGATAAAGAAAATTATATAGATGTGTGAATGAAATCACTAGGAATCCATCTTAACTCAAGGAAATCTTTATCTTCTCCAAAAGAAGGAAGAACAGAAGATGGTTGTTTGAAAATGCACCTTTCAGAGTTGCAATTGGATCACAGCCTTAGGGGAACCTTCATCCCTAGATGAATATCCCGGTGAAATAAATCCACATTTCCCTTAAATTGTTGCAGATTTGAATTATTTAATTTTGCAGCAGCTGCCTAATGACAGATAATCTAAGGTTAATCTGGTGTTTTCTTTTGCAGATCTGCAAACATGTCATTGAAAAAGAGATAAAAATAACTGTGCTGGATCTGAGGTGATACAGAGAGAAGAATACCTTCGGTAAAACATAAGTCCAAAGGAAAACAAGGCTGTCCAGTTTTCCTAGCGTTTTCCAAGTTACTGACATTTTATATTTGTATGTTTTGAATTTAACAATTTGATATTTATTGCCCTTTTCTCATTTTGAAGTTATTTCATTGTACAGTCAAAATGAAGCTCACGGTGGCATTCAGTCCGGGTATGTTATTTTATTGGAATAATATGACAATAAAGTGAACTTGACACAATGACAGTCTTGACTCCTTTGCAATTTTTTTTTTCTTTTCCCCCCCCTCTGGACTATATATGATTGTTTTCCTGCCCTACAGGTATCCAGGGGTGCCTAAGTGTGACATGTGAATGTTTACAGCATGTTTAAAAATAACACTAGCTATAAAATAGATTTGGAAATATGGAAGAAAGAACAGACTCGCCAAAAGGAGCAAAGCAGGTTCTACTGAGAAACGCACAGAAAAACTCTGGTCAAATAATAAAGTGAACAATGAATGTGTGAGCTCACAAACACGAGTTCCTTCTATTCAACTAGCTTCAGTCCCAAACACCTGCTACTGCATTATTAAAGGGTCAGTGTCGCCTCCCTATAAATTCACTGAGAAGAAAGAACCTTAAAATAATTCTGATTTTTTTCTGAGTCACAGCAGGTAGAAGTCAGAGGGCATGGAGAACTGAAAACTAGGTATAACCATAGGATTTAGGGAGGAATGGCAAACAATTCTACTTATGCATAAATTACAGTGTGCCTATCTAGGTCTAAAATGTAAAAATAGCTGCTATCTTTGTGTGTTCTCCAGTGGATGATTTAAACAAGCACAAACTTCCTTTAATCAAGATTCACATTTTCCACTATCCGTAGAACTTTAATGCAAATATTGACTAGTATAATGTTGATCTGCCATGTCTCACTCTTTTTTCCAGAGGAGAAGGAATACTATTTACTCCAAGTAGAGTATGAAAAAGTTGAGGTTTATTAATAAAAAAATTCAAAGCACCTGAAAAGCATGTTTACAATTCTTTCCTCCTCTGCCCCCTAAAAACCTCAAATACATCTTATTGGAAACCCAGCTAATTGTAAGGAAGGTACTTGGGGTAGGCTAATTAGAATATTTTTCACAGAAGGGGAAGCAACTCAGAAGCATTTGCGGTGAACAATAGATGGGCCAGCTTCATCGTACTCTGGTTTGCTGATCCACATCTGTTGGAAGGTGGAAAGAGAAGCAAGAATAGATCCTCCAATCCAGACCGAATACTTGCGCTCAGGTGGAGCAATAATCTGAAGGAAAAAGGATTGAACAGATCTTATTGAACTACTTCAAACAGAGAATGTTACAAATTATGCAGGCATCATTTTTCACATTGCAAAACTGGTAACAGAGACTTCATATCTGTATGTAAGTAATGTATCTAACCCAAGCAAATGTGTTTATTTTTGATGTTGCACATCTAAGGGTGAAATTACACAAATCATTTTGGACAGAAAAATGGGCTATACTCAGTTACTTTAGACCAGGGGTTGGCAACGTTAAACACTCAAGAGCCACAAAGTTCCTAAGTTCCAGAAGCCCCCCGTTCAATTCTGGAGCCGACCGGAAGTCCAGTTCCCCCACCATAAAGTCTCCTCCTAGCATGGCATCCTTTTTTCCTCTGCCGACCAGAAGTACAGTCCCCCTCCCACCATAGGGTCTCCTCCTAGTGTGGCGTCCTTTTACCTCTACCTGTCCTAACCAAAAACCCTATCAATTGTGGAGCCGACCAGTGATGGGGAGCTGCAGCAGAGGGATGAGAGAGCCACATGCGGCTTTAGACTCTTACAGGTGTTATTTACTTGGGTTGCATTTCTATTCTATTTTTAAAAGCAATGCAATTCTATGAATACTCTGTGTGAAAATAGGAACCTTTTTCCCGAGATTCACTGTGATAAGGAAACATGATAGGTACTTTAAAAAATGATACTGACAAGTTAAATCCAGTCACTACTGATGTGATGAATTTCCTTATGGGAACTTTCTTTCAACATCAACCTCTTCAATTTAGGAATTCGGATTAGGATTTAATTTATCCCAATGAAATGATTAAAAAGAAAATCCCATTGATGCTTAATTTTGATTTTTAAAATATTAAGTTAAATCCAAATTTGTTTATTTCAATTTAATTTTCATTTGATTTTCACTCAGATTCCTTTTGCTGGAATGTTAGTGCTTTGCATTGCTTTTTGTTAGCGTTTTCATTGACTTGTATTTGAGTGCATGTTGCTGCATTCCCTCATATGGCTACTGTGAGATAAAATCCATTTCATGCTGAAGATCCAATTTTCTCAAGGCAAAATAAAAGTATCCCAGCCAAAGGAAAGTAAACATAATTTTAAAATATAAAATCAAATCAAACAGAAAATACATTTCCAATAACCATTCCCAGTTCAGGGGTAGAACTGAGAAAATGATTGGTTTAGGATTTTTCGTGCCTTCAACTCACTGATGACTCCCAAATATTGCTGAACTATAATTCCTAGTGGTCCTAGCCTGCATGGCTAATGGTGAGGATGCTCACAGTTGCAGCTCAGCATCTGGAACATAGCAGATTCCTCATCTCTAGGAATCCTGACATATCATGTAAACATAGCCATCTCTGGCACTGAATTATGTAGTGATCAATCAAACAATACCTTTATTTTCATAGTGCTGGGAGCCAGGGCAGTGATCTCCTTTTGCATACGATCTGCAATGCCAGGATACATGGTGGTCCCACCAGATAGGACATTGTTTGCATAAAGGTCCTTTCTGATGTCTATATCACACTTCATGATGCTGTTGTAGGTAGTTTCATGAATGCCAGCAGATTCCATACCTGACAAAGATTTCAAAAGGAACGCTTGTTAAATATTCTTAAATAACGAATTAAACATGTTAAATCTTTTGATTTACAGTACCACCTCAAAATGATTTACAATCAAATGCTGAAAGTATTTATAACCTTTTACAAATAGAGCAAACGTTATCTGAAATAAAATTGCATGGAAAGTTTATACAGGTAGATTTAAACATTTAAGATTGCTGAAAACCAGAAATCTGAATGAACAAATTGACTTTTTTATAGCTGTCAAAGGGCAGTCCAGTCATATGACATGGCATGGGGACAGGTGATAGATGGATACATGGATGGATATGATAGAGATAGATGATAGAGATAGATCAGATGATGGATGGATGGATGATGGATGGATGGATGGATGGATGGATGGATGGATGGATGGATACACAGACAGACAGACAGACCAAGATTAAAGCCAATATGGTGTAGTGGTTAAGACACCAGGCTAGAAACAAAGAGATTGTGAGTTCTAGTCCTGACGTTGGGCCAGTTATTTTCTCTCAGTACTAGAAACCATTTCCAAAAAGCCTTGGTAAGAAAATTTCTGGGCCTAGTCTAGGCAGTTACCAGGAACCAAAACTGACCCGAAGCACACAAAAATATAACATTATGTGTATATATCAACGTACCAATGAAAGAGGGTTGAAAGAGGGTCTCTGGGCAGCGGAATCGCTCATTCCCTATAGTAATAACCTGGCCATCAGGCAACTCATAGCTTTTCTCTAGGGATGATGAAGAAGCAGCAGTGGCCATCTCATTTTCAAAATCCAGGGCAACATAACAGAGTTTCTCCTTGATGTCACGGACAATTTCACGCTCAGCTGTGGATGAAATTGGAAGAAGAGATGTCTGCATGAACTCCTGTTCCATCGGATTCAAGAAAAAATGCAGTCTTGTGGTGTTTGCTTTAGCTGTAGTTTAATATTTATGCTGACTGAAATTAAATAAACCAATTCAACATTTAGCATTTTTATCATAAATGTATTATCCTACAAATATTCTGAATTTCCCAAACATTTTTCATTTTCTCCCTTTAATTTGTCAAAATTAAACATTCTAGATGGATGTAGAATTCAATATTTTTTTACTACCGGTTCTGTGGGCATGGCTTGGTGGGCGTGGCAGAGGAAAGATACTGCAAAATCTCCATTCCCACCCCATTCCAGGGGAAGGTTACTGCAAAATCTCCATTCCCACCCCACTCCGGGGGAAGGATACTGCAAAATCCCCATTCCCTCCCCACTCTGGGGCCAGTCAGAGGTGGTATTTGCTGGTTCTCCGAACTACTCAAATTTTCCGTTACCAGTTCTCCAGAATCTGTCAGAACCTGCTGAATTTCATCCCTGGATTTGTCTAACTTCAGGAACTGGTCGTTTGGAAAATAAAATCTGTGCTACTATTTGGTTGCTATTATATTGCAATCAAATGTCAGGCCTGAAAGACCAGGTTCATAGATGAAGATCCAATTCAACTGATTTATTCAATTCAATTCAATTGATTTATTGCTAAACAAGTTATGCATAGAAATCTTCTCAACTAATGTTTAGCACCTGCTTGGAGTTAGATAAGGGTCCACAGAATTTGGGGGAAGGATTGGATTTGTGGCCACATCAGGATTCTAGGCTGATTCCTTTTTTAACTCCACCTCCAGATTCTCCATTCCTCCTACACAGTGTTTCAATTTCAATATTTCAATTTCAATATTTAAAAAGGGAAAAAAATCATATCAAATTTTAAATATTTGAGTTTAAATTTAAGCAGTATTTTTCACTGAGCTTTTTTGAGTGGGACACACACACACACACACACACACACACACACACACAATCGGGGTGGGTTCTAAAATTTTTTACTACTGGTTCTGTGGGCGTGGCTTATTTTGTGGGCATGGCTTGGTGGGGGGGATAATGTAACTGGGTGGTCGTGGCCAACTTTTTTTTTTTTTTTTACTTTTAAAAGCATTTTTTTCTGCAAACTTAAGAGGTTGCAGAAAAAATGCTTTTAAAAGCCTCTGACGATCAGGCAACTCAGCTGGGATCGCCAGAGGCTTTTAAAGGTATTTTCGGCCGAAGAGGTTGCAGAAAAAAATGCTTTTAAAAGTTAAAAAAAAAAAGCCTCTAATGAGGTGGGCGGGGTAAGTGAGTGGCGACCGGGCCGGGGACTGGTTCGGGGGTGTGGCCAGCCAATATTATTACCAGTTCTCCGAACTACTACAAATTTTTACTACCGGTTCTTGCGAACTGGTGTGAACCGGGAGCAACCCACTACTGTATATAATTGTACATTCTACTCTATGCCCTAAAGAAGACTTCCTGGTTTCAGGGCTAGTAGCTACATGTATAATGGCAGCATGAAATGAGAGCAACATCCTGTGTGATAAAATTCCCCTTCTTTCCCTTCTTCTTTCTCCTTCTCCAGTCCCTTGAAACACCAAAGTGCTCGATGAAGTTCTCCAAAGTTCTAGAACTGGTACACATCCTTAATGCAAGGATAATAAGGAACCTATTCTACTCTCGGATAGACACTATTGATTACAATCCCCTATAAACAAGGATCCCTAGTTCAGAGCCTGTAAGATACAGCAGGGATTGTCTATAGTAGACAATTCTGATTTTATTTCTCCAGAGGCCATGAGTTAGCAGACAATGATTTAGAGGTAAAGAAACTTAGCAATGCAGTTTCTCATCCAGTGCCAGGCTATAATTTGAATTACTCTTGGCAGAAAATAATTTATTGCATCTGGATAGGTGCCAATTTCTGCTCTACTTTTTTCAAACCGTAAGTAGGTTTTTTCTTCTTCTTGAGGTTTCCGAGAAACTAGCTGTGGGTTTGTCAGGAAAACATTATAAATTGCAACACATTTTCCTCTAAGAGAATTTGGCACCAACTATAGATACCTTATGCAATGAACCAGTTCGGCGATCTGTCTGTATTCTGACTACCAACAGCAATCCATTTGAACCCAATCTCTGGGTCACTCTTTTGTGACCCAGAGACTGTGATATTATATATTGATAATATGTACCAAATTTTACATCAGGAAAATATATAAATGGGAATCCTTGTGGGAATATTTGAAAATAATTTGTTTTATATAGACGATAGGAGCATATAAAGCTCTATGTCAGTGATGATCACATGTAATTTCCTTACCAGTAGTAACAAATGAGTAGCCTCGTTCTGTCAAGATTTTCATGAGGTAGTCGGTAAGATCACGGCCAGCCAGGTCCAGGCGCATGATAGCATGGGGCAGAGCATAGCCTTCATAGATTGGCACATTGTGGGTGACACCATCACCAGAGTCGAGCACAATCCCTTGAGGTAACACAAAACAGGTTTTGATTGCCTTCAAGTCAACTCACTCTCATTCATGTTCTGAAGGCCCAAAGCAGTTTCTCATTCTTACCTGTTGTACGTCCAGAGGCATAGAGAGACAAAACAGCCTGAATAGCAACATACATGGCTGGGACATTGAATGTCTCAAACATAATCTGAAAATAATTGAGAAAAAAATGAATAAATTCTTCCCTTGGCTTATTTTAATTTGAACATCAGTAGGCCATTTTTCTAAACTATTGCAAGGGGCTTGCAATGTTATAAAATATTTTGTAACTGTATTTAATAGGTAGATCACTGGTAGTAGATGCCTATTAGATGTATAGAACAATACCTCCCACAATTCTGCAGTTCCATCCAATTATTGATATATAGCAATAAGGGCATTCTCAATCTCTGAGGGAGATGGGAAGTTTAGAAATAGGAAATATAAATAGATGATAGATGGATAGATAGGAATAGGAAATATAAATAGATGATGGATGGATGGATGGATGGATGGATGGATGGATGGATGGATGGATAGATGGATGGATGGATGGATGGATAGATAGAGTGAGTGAGTGAGTGAGTGAGAGAGAGGTGATAGATGGATGATAGATTAATAGGCAGATGAGAGAGAGAGAGGAGAGAGAGAGATGATGGATGAGAGGTTAATAGGCAGATGATAGATAGATAGATAGATAGATAGATAGATAGATAGATAGATAGTTGTCTTCTTAAGTTTTTGCGGCTGCGCATATGCAAAAAATTAAAATCTCAGGTGTTTTCCCGCGTCATTGTAAATAAGTTGGTTAAAATGTTTAAAATTCTGGTTAAAATCCCAGCTTAAAATCTTCTAAAAATCCTTACAGAGCACTCTGCAAGGTCCTTTAAAACCTCAGCTAAAATCCTACCAGTGACTTTAAAAGTTTTTCTTATAGCAACTTTTCGACAGGCTCACAACCTTGTCATCTTCAGGCTCTTGTTTTGTTAGAAGCTATGGGTTCTCTGTTGCGAGATCGGAGCTGTCGCTTATCTATATTTGCTGCTGCTGACGTATGCTGGCTTGCCTGCAACTCTGTGTCCCGATTGGAGGACAGCAGTTTTTCTTCCTGCTTCCTCCTCCTAGCTGCTTGGCTGCGTGTTACAGGCCCAGCTTTCTCAGATTCTCTATTATTATCTGTCTGCTGTAGAGGGGAAAGGATTTTGGTAGGCATCACAGCACCCTTGATTGTTAGTTGAGATCTCAGCCTATCTTCTGGTTCGATCCTCTCTCTCTCCCTATTGCTAGCCACCCTCTGCAGAGCGGGAAGAATTCTGGCAGGCCTTACAACACCACTGGTTGCTTGTCGGAATCTCTGCCTCTCTTCTGATGTTAACACTCGAGTTTCTCTCATTGCAGGTCCCCAAATACTTGATAACCTAGAGGCGTCGTCTCGTCTGTTCATATTCTGCGGCCTCTTTTCATTTTCGATGGCCTCCCTGATTATTCTTTTGTTGAGATGTTCCTCTTTCGCCACTGTTCTGGTTTTATTAAAATCAATATTGTGTCCCGTGGCTTTCATGTGTTGTACCAAAGAAGAAGTTTGCTCTTCTTTCCTCACTGCATTTTTATGTTCTTCTAAACGCACACTTATTCGTCTATTTGTCTGTCCAATATAAGATGAACATTAGAAGAACATAAAAATACTATATATACCATTTACCTGTGTCATTTTTTCTCGGTTAGCCTTTGGATTCAAAGGTGCCTCTGTAAGCAAGGTTGGATGTTCTTCAGGAGCCACGCGGAGCTCATTGTAGAATGAATGATGCCAAATCTGGAATAAATGGCAAAATGAATTAGTAGCGTTTATGAGAAACATCTCTAACTCATCCCCACCCCTTGGACAATTAACCAAAAATCCAAGAACAACGTAGTGCATTTTGAATTGCCAGAAAAAGAGAAAAGAACCCTTGATCAAAAATATGTAAACATTAGAAACATTTTTGGCATTAAGCTGCATAATAAAATTCTAAAAATTAAGACGTAATATGAAGCCATCTCTGATAGACATTGTTAAATCTTAGACAGATAGATAGATTACATCTATCTAAATGGCAATTTAAATACCTTCTCCATATCATCCCAGTTTGTGATGATACCATGTTCGATGGGGTATTTCAGGGTCAGGATCCCTCTCTTGCTTTGAGCTTCATCTCCTACATAGCTGTCTTTTTGTCCCATGCCTACCATCACACCCTAAAAGTTAAAAAGAGAGAAAAGATACAGTACATGATCACATCTGGTTTAGAAGCAAACTGGGACAGAAAGCAAAGTTATCATCATTTCATAGTGTTACTTTTCTCCAGTGTGTAGCTATGATTCAGTGCTCATCCACATTAAGCCACGGCTCGTGATTCCTTGAGTGACATAATTATTGAGGTGCACATGACATCCAAACCAAAAACCAAGTATGCCACATAATCACAAGAGTGTATGGCACGTGTTAGCCAGGGATCACCGAAATGGCTGGCTACCTCTGTGAAAGGAAATTTTTTAGGCAGTGTAATCTTACCCACGGGATACCTGAAGGCCGGTAGGCAATTGAGGGAGGCTCCTTCCCTGTCCCTACATGGTTTATTCGCTCACAGGAATTGAGCCGTCGAGCTGCTGACCTCGGCAGAGTGGAGGCTCAGCGTCTTACCAGATGAGCCACCGCAGCCCCATGTAATATAATGATACAATACAATACAATACGATGAAATGAGATGGTGATGGTGATATGATATATGATATATGATATATGATATATGATATATGATATATGATATATGATATATATATGATATATGATATATGATATATGATATATGATATATGATATATGATATATGATATATGATATGGCATGGCATGGCATGGCATGATATATATATAATTATGTTCCTATACAGTATGTTGTGTTTGGTTATTGTGTTAATGTGGCATACTTGGTTTTGGTTTGAGTGTTATGTGCACCTAAATAATTATGTCACTCAAAGAGTCACAAGCATACATATATATGCACTGCCCTGGGTCACAACAGCACTGAACCATTTAGCCTAATGTAATCTGAGATATTTTCAATAATAGCTTTCCTGAATAAATGCTTTTCCCATTCCATTTACTGGAAACGAGAAGTGCTCTTTAGATTCTTCTGGGCCTTGCAACCTGAAATCCAATATGGATTACTCATCATTATTTTACAATCGATTCAATTTACATTCAGCCAATCAGGGTCCTCCTTGAACTGTCACTAGACAGCAACCACAATAGAGAACAAAAGAGGTCAGTTAACCAGGCCAGTTGAATAAATAGCTGCGTAGGGTTTCTCTTCTGAATTGCATCCAGCAAATTATTTTGAAATAATTAGAATTAAAGTTTTCCTCTTTTTTATTTTTTCTATTTTTTTTTCCTATTTTCATTCCACCTGTAATATGTCATTGAGATAGTCAATCTATAGACAAACATCAATCTTCTCACTGTTTGTAATATAAATTACTCTGGGACTCCCTTTTGACTAAAGAAGAGAATAAAAACAATTCACTGAGATAAAAGGAGCAGAGAGCCATCTAACACAAACTTTGTAGTAAATATGATTGTAGTCTATAAGATTATCCCAGATCAGCCCATGCATGTTTATCTAGAAGTCAACTCAAGTACCTCATACTACTTCCAAATAATTGTATTTAAAATTGCAGCTTTTGGTAGAAAAGAGAGAGAGAGAGAGTAATACTGTATCTTCTTCTTCTTCATCATCATCACCAATAGATTACAATATATGTATTCTTCATCCCACTGAACCACAAGAATTCATCAGACTATTATATTGTTGGAATATTAGTGTGGGTGATTTCCAGTTTAGTTTGTAACCTGTGCAGTCCCAGTCATTTCCTATATCCAGATCTGAGCAAGTTTACTCTCCACTCAGTTCAGCTGACAAAAAATATAGCTTGAGGTTTATTTTAAAAAATTAGTAAATTTTAAAATCAGATAACGGCACACAGGGGAGACAAAAGCAGGGAAAGAGAGAAATGTAAACAAGGAAGAATATAAAGTAGCTATAAATCTATATCAAGAGGCACAGAGATTTTCAAAGCCAATGAAAACCATGCAGTAGGCAATTAGCATGGTTAACCCCAAAGGGAAGGGCCTTTGATTATTCCAGCTTTGAGCCATTTATGTACATAATGGCAGCTGAATAGGAAACCAGTTTTACCACACGAAGGAAACAATTTGGTGGACAGGGATGGTTTTATCGAACATATGTCTCATATACTTCGTTAAAAATTTCAGCAGTTTCAGAGTTTTCACAAGCAATGACTCTGAAATGTAACATCCGTGACTATTTAGAAAGGGGGGGGTGTTAAATAATTTTATCAGATTTGCTGCTATTTTATATTTCATTTCCTGGCAATCCTAAAACCCATCTTTACCACCATTTGTGTGTATTCCATCTCCCATCATACCACTTAAAATATATTTATTCTTTGCAATCAAAAGCAGCAAAGAAGAAATTTTAATTTCTGAAGAAGAAATTAAAAGAGGTTCCCAATTTCCTGTGAAAAATTATTAATTTCTAAGACAGTCTGTAGAGATTCTGAGTCATCCAGCTCATGGTTGTCTCAAAGGTGCTTTTTCAGGAGGCATCTGGACTTTCTTGTTTTTTTTCTTTTGAAGGCGTTTTGCTTCTCATCCAAGAAGCTTCCTCAGCTCTGACAGGACAGTGGGGAATGGAAGGATTTATATTCCTTGCAGACAGCTGCTCATTTGCGTCCTTTTAGAAGGTCGTTGAAGCACTTGGAGGTTTATCTGTGTCCTCACAATATAAATCATTCTATTTCCCCACCATCCAGTCAGAGTTGAAGAAGCTTCTTGGATGAGAAGCAAAACATCTTCAAAATCCTCAAGGAGCCTGAGTGGCGTAGGAGGCTAATGCCTCCTACTAAGGCAGCATTTAACATCCAGCTGCCTGCAATTACTGCGAGTTCAATTCTCACCAGGCTCAAGGTCGACTCAGCCTTCCATCCTTTCTAAGGTGGGTAAAATGAGGACCCGGTTTGTGGGTGTAATAAGCTGACTTTGTATAAAATATACAAAAATATGAAGGCTATTGCTTAACGTATTGTAAGCCGCCCTGAGTCTCCGGAGAAGGGCGGCATATAAAAATAAAGAAAAAGAAAAAGAAAAAGAAAAGAAAAAGAAAAAGAAAAAGAAAAAGAAAAAGAAAAAGAAAAAGAAAAAAGAAAAAAATAAGGAAGTCTAGTTGCCTCCTGAAAAAGCACCTTTGAGACAATTTCTAAGGCACCTGTTCAAGAACCTGATTGAAAGGTCCTCTTTATATCAACTGCACTAATCTAAAATAAACAACATGAGGACTGTGTCATGGAGTTGAGCGTGTCTACAAGTTTTCCATAGTTTCATTTCAAACGACTGTTTTGATTTCTTTGCTAAGCCACTGAATTGTTCATTTACCTGATGCCTTGGACGTCCTACGATGGAAGGGAAGACAGCCCTGGGAGCATCGTCCCCAGCAAAGCCTGCCTTACATAGGCCAGAGCCATTATCGCAAACCAGAGCCGTGCTGTCCTCTTCCTCACACATCTTCTAGAGTCACTTTCTGAGACTTTCCACACAGGTATTGTCCTACAAAGAGAAGGGAGAAGATCCAATGAAAATATCCAACGTTTCCAGTCAATAAAGGACAGCAGAAGGTGCATTAAAACATGTAGCTTCACTTTCTGTTTGAATAGGTAAAGGGAAATCAAAGAGCGGTAAAGGAATTGTTTAAAGTCTTAACTTAAACTTCCTAACTTAAAGCAGAGGTGAGGCACATATTCCTAAACGCAACCTGATTAATTCTAGATGGAAGAGCTAGAGGTTGGGAGATGCAGTTCAGCAAACTCTGGAAGTTTAAATCTGCCTAACTTAAAGCTAGTTTTACTTTTTAACTTAATGAATGAATCTGAGCTCAAGCATAAACAAACCGCTGTACCTGGCCTGCGGAAATCCAGATGAACCACAGATGGCAGCAAAGAGACTACTTTACCTCTTTGGCTAATCTTGATTTTTGCAACCTCCATAAGGTAACTTGAGCAACAAAAACTGATTACCCTTATGATAAAGCTGCATGTTTTGGACAATTTGGTCCAGTGATTAAGGCACCAGGCTAGAAACCAGGAGTTTCTGAGCTCTAGTTCTGCTTAAGGCAAGAAAGCCAGCAGGATGGCTTTGAGCCAGTCTCTCTCTCAGCCTAACCCATCTCATAAGGCTGCTGTTTGGGGAAAATAGGAGGAGAAAGGAATATTAGGTATATTCATTGCTTTGAGTAATTTATAAAAATAGTAAAGGCAATTTAAAAAAAAAAAGGTAGTGATGGTTGAAATGTATTAGAGAAGCATATAAAAAAGGATTAAAGCTTCCCCTACAGTTTGTTAGTCCTTTAACCTACACCAGGTCTCCCTTATTTTAAGAAGCAGAATGAATAAAGTGCATCTTTAAGGCATGGTTTTCAAAACTTACAGGAAAAGAACAGAACGTGGTCCTCGAGTGCAGAAAATTTATCCTACCTGAACATTTCAACTTTCGTTCTACAATATATACATTTCTCATTTGATAAGAAAGAGAGAGATATAATTTCTTCCAGATAGCTGATGACTTTATATCTACCCTGTTTCCCCGAAAATAAGACATCCCCTGATAATAAGCCCAATCGGGGTTTTGAGCGCATGCGCTAAAATAAGCCTCCCCCCAAAAATATTTCAGCCCTCCCCAAAAATATTTAAACGCAGAGCTGGAAATCAGGTAAGACGGCAAGAGGAGCCCCATCTTACTCCACGTGCCCCAAAATAATATGACTTCCCCCAAAATAAGGCCAAGCGCTTATTTTGGGGTTCAAAAAAATATAAGACAGGGTCTTATTTTTGGGGAAAACACAGTAATACCGGTTTGTCCCAGTTCAGGCGAACTGGTAGTGGCAGCGGTGGGAGACTCCGCCCACCTGCCCGGATGTCATCACGGACATTCTGTGCATTGGCAGAAGCACCATGCATGAGCGAAGCAAGCACGCACACATACACGCTCACAGTTCGGAACCCGTAGCGAAGGAAGTAGAACCCACTACTGATGGACATGTATTTAAAAATACTGTGAGAAAAGTAGATTGTCCGATCATAGCCAACATAGTTAATGAACTTGAGCTGAGGTCAAAACTCAGGCCTTCTCCAATATCAAAGGCAGGATATCACACAATCTTTTAATTGTGATTCAGAATATTGGATAATACACCTCAGAAGTCAGAGATGTAGGCAATTAAGTTTTTTGCTTTATTGAGTTGCTCATGCTTAGCATTTAAAAGAAATAACTAAAAATAGCCAAAAAGGCATGGGATAGGTTGATCACCAGATAATTGTCTATCAATAATTGTCTATCACCAATCAATAATTGTCTATCAGATAATTGTCTATCACCGGACAATTATCTATCAAATGCACATAAATGGATTATAAAGGCTGGATTTCCCACATTAGATGTGATGTGTAGGTTCAAAGGGAAGAGGATTTTACTGAATTGCATCTGAAGGGAAGGACACATTTTGGAAGATAGAAAATGGGGGCACAGGGAGAGGTTGGTGGTACCTCCCCATATATACCCATTCTCTGTGATTTTTATTGCATTTTCTTCCCTCAAAGATTCATGGTGATGAGATTCCAATGTGTTTCCCATCAAAACAAAATTGCTATATTATAACACTTAGTCCTCATGTGGCATTAGATCTGAAATGTGTTGAATGTGTTATTGTGATTGTGTGAGAGAACCTGATATAAGCCAGGAGATAAGAAATACATATTTATGAATGGAATATAAACATTGAGGGTTTTTTTCCCCACACCTTACAAGAGGACAAGTGAATTAGTGTGAGTTCAGTTTATGGATACACTAGTAAAAATCTCACATTTGCAAATAATAATTTGTCATATTTGCAGGGGACACACATCTCAAAATGTAGTGTGTAAACGAATGCTGTGTTGAATATTCTGTAGTATAATTACTTTTTAATCACCGTTACTTTTTTGAGAAAGTAAAATTGAATGAGAATGTGTACTGTAGTTCAGGATAAATTCTTGGACGAAAGAAAGAAAAGAAAGAAAGAAAGAAAGAAAGAAAGAAAGAAAGAAAGAAAGAAAGAAAGAAAGAAAGAAAGAAAGAAAGATTTTCCAAAGAAATGCTGAAAAAATGCATTTTATAAGGATTATTCACTTATAGATAAACATTTACTAAAAACACAGAATCTGCACCTATGCTGAAAACCTCTGACTGATTGGGAACAAACTATTTCCTAATTAGGAAACAAAGCCTTTTAAAAGGCTGTTTTTGGAACAGAGCAGAAAAGGTCAAGGGTTCCTTGCCTCAAACTCTACTCAACTGAGCCAAAAAGGGAAATAATATCCTTAAAGGGAGGGGGAAGAAGGGAATGCTGCATTTCTGCTTCAGCAGAATGGGGAACTCTAAATGAAAACCATATTTAGTAACTACCAGAGCTCAGGAAAAATCAGGGAAACCAGACATTTCAGGCAAGACTTTTAATAACAGCCAAGCAGTCATTTAAAGCTCTAGGAACCTTACAGTAACTTGCAGAGCCCAGAAGTCAGCACTAAACCTGAAAACATGCATGTGTGTCCTGCATAAGCTCTGGAAATAATTGTTGTGCTTATACACAAAGTTAAGCACAATCATGACATACAACAAGAAAGACAAACTCTATTATAAATTCATTGCTTGTCATCCACAGGGTTAACTGATCTGAGCTGCAAACATCTGAACGACTACTAAAAGCCAGAAAATAATTAGAATTTTCTGTGCTTTTTAATTCCATCTTGTGGTTTTCTGATTTTTGGAACTTAAATCTGGTAACTTTAAGGCATTGCTTGCTGGGACTAATAACAACAATAGCAACTTTCTAGCCAAAACAAGCTACATGTGTCAGAACAAAATAAGTGATATATGATAGCAATATAACTGAAAATCTACACTGAAGCAGTTGAAAAGCACACCAAAAAAGTCAGTTCAAGAATAAGGGGAATAATTCAAATTCAGGTTTAGTATCTGAAATAGTCTCCCTTTAAACAGATAGTCTCCACTGGCCGAGAATTCTGCAAAAATGTGTAACTATGGGAAAAGTTCTGGGTTTTATGTTACCCTGAATTAAATTGTGTTCACACAGTTTTCTAGACAATCAATCAATCAATCAATCAATCAAGTCATAGACCAACAGACTTCTAGACAATAAAACAATTCGTTTGCAGTGACTGTAAATCCAGGGTTATTATTTGTAAACCATGGCTCATTACTAACAATCCATTATTTTCAAAAGTGTGACTTATCATGGCTTACAGATCTCAGGAGTGGAGTTCACATGTTAACCAAACCTAAAGCATACAAGCCAGAGTATGGCTTTACCTTTTACCATGTGTGAAGTCAGTCTTTAAGAAATCAAAGTGGCAATGAACTCAGAGACAATGAAGAAAAGGCTGAGTGCAATGAACAACATTTAAATGCACATAAATACCACTACCCTCTTGCATCACTGAATCCCAACTGCTATACTATTCCTAGTGTTAGTGATTATTATTTATAATAATTTAATTAGAGTTAAAATAATAATGCTGAAAATAAAAATACCGTGTATGTTACAGAGATGCCCAGCTTACCAAAAGCATGTAAATTAAAATAATAGGAAGTTTGATGAAATATAATAATATATATTGTATCATTGAGACAAATGAGATTTCTGTTCTTCATATATTTTTATATTTGGATTAATAGGATATAGAGGAACAGAGTTCCATAGACGTTCATTGAAATTCCCCCCCTCTCTCTCCCTCTCTCCCTCCCTCCCTCCTCTCTCCTCCCTCTCCCTCACCAGTTTGAAGGACATTATCTTTGACTGTCTACTAAAAGGGAAATTTATGAAAGGATCAGTGATACAAGGAAGAGGTTTTAAAATGGTTAAACAAATAGTATGATTATTACTGGTATTAATTGATATAAATGCAATGAATATTGTTGTAAATATTATTATTTACTTTACTTTCCTTTACTTTTTACTTCCTAAAATGATTTGTACCCAGACAACACTGTTCAATTGAAGTTGGAATTTTTATATACTAATAAAATAAAATCAAAAGTTATTACGAAACAAAAAAAAGAATGTCTACTAAAAGTAAATAGGAAAAGGGTCTGTCTTGAATCATGCCAGACAAGATCCTTTTGGACTCATTACAAGCCTGTATTTGATTGACACTTATAAGCATCCTCTTCAATTATTTTTTGTAACATTTACTGCTCAGAATTATTCTTAGCTGTCATTGAAGTAGTAATAGGGTGATGGTATGTTTACTTCTAGTGAACTCTCACCTAAGGATACTAAGCATGGTTTCTATTCTCATACTTAAAGAGCACAGCAGGCATTTCCATAAAAAATAACCATCAAGCGAACACAGGTTGTTACTTACATAGGCCCTTGAAGCAACTGAAATCAAAGTTAGTCCTTGCCTTCTTGGTAATGCAACTGTCAACTACTAAATACGCTTAGATCCCAGGGCTTCTGGTTTGTCTGAGATGTGGGAATGCAGATGAAGGCTTGAAAAAAAAAATGTACCAAAAAATGAAAAAAACCTTTCTCAGTTCCACCATGAAAAACTGGACTCATGATTTGTAGTTACAGCTTCAAAAAATGAAGCCTTGTATTATGGATCAGTTTGAACTGCAAGAAGCCAAGAGCGGGGGAGCTGTCCATCAGGATGACCCACACCAAGAACAATGTAAAACAAAAGATCGTATTACCGAAACAGATGGAAAGCTGTGCAGAAAATTAATTCAGTTGTGCAAAACCTGTTAGCCCTATAGCTATTTTATCTCTGCAATTTTAAGGATGGAAATAAAGGATAGAAATGAGACCAATGCAGAAAGCAAATTCAGTAAATCTGCTTTCAACCTCACTGACTTCAGCAGGAGAAAACAGTTTAAATCTTTAAAGGAGTTAAAAATGCTTAACCAAGAGGTGCCAATCCACACAATGCTATGTGTGTCGCAAATTCATTCAGACACAAGCCCCCCTGTGTTAAATGCTTCACCCCTACAAAATGTCTAATGCAGGGAATCATTCTTATGGAGTTCAGTTATAGTATTACTTCCAGGTACATCTGCAGAGCCGAGGGCTACGCAGGAACTGTGCTTCTTTCTTCTGAACCCAAGAGCAAAACCTATTAACTGTATTATGCAGCTGAGACAGAGATTGTTCTATCTGGAGACACCCCTGAAGAGCCAATTCCCCAATGCTTAACTCAGAAGACAGTTTCCACGTTCTCCACTCTATGCTGGGTTTAATGCCACTTACCCTTCTCAGCTCAGGGTGTGTCGTTCTGGGATGGTGCACTGAGAAATGGCATATTCTCTGACTATATAGCCTGTCTCCTCCCACCAGCTCACCAAACAAGGAGCAAAGCCAGTCTCCATCTCCATCTCTCTGTCAAACAGAACCATATAGGGGCTTCTCCACAAATCCTTCAGTTCTGGGTGGCTGCTGGTCGCTCGGGCTCCTCCGCTCGGCATTCCTTTCTGCTGTTCACAAAGCCAGGAGAAGCTTTTTGGCTGCCTGCTATATAAACACAAGGAGAATCCAAGCTTGCTGCTACTGAGAGATTCCTGGGGTAGTTGGTGCATCAGGGACAGTTTCTGGCATGGAGCAGATGCTTTGGCAAGATCCATGTGTACTATATGCACGGAGCTGTCAATGGAGCACAAGAGGAATCATTAATCCTGCCTTGGTTCCATACTGGAAAGATCTCATTCACAGAGTAAGGGGAGGGGTGGGACCAAACGTTAGAACTGCCAGAGAGATTAATGCCTCCTTGTGCACAACAGGAAAGCAAAGCTGTGATTTGATTTTAGAACTATGTGGCCACTAAGAAAAGTGGTAAGGCAGAGCAGATGCCTTATCAAACATATGACTAAGAGATATCCTGGGTTACAATAGTCAAAACAAAAGGAAAGGAAAACTATGCTCATGATGTACCGTATTACAAAAACATGGGTTATTGCCATCCCAAAAGTGCTTTTTCCCCCCCCAAAACGCAATTTGATTTTCTTGGTTTTTTTCTTTGAAAACAGATTTGACAGATTAACAGAGTTGGGAGGGACCTTACAGGTCATCTAGTCCAACCTCCCCCCCACTCAAGCAGGAGACCCTACACTCGTGATGGCGAACCTATGGCACGCGTGCCACCTGTGCAATATGGCACGCGGAGCCATATTGGTGGGCACGTGAGCTCAGCACCGGCACACATGTGCACGTTGGCCAGCTGATTTTTGGGCCTTCTGGGACCACCGGAAGTAGGGAAACAGGCTGTTTCCTGCCCTGGATGGCCTGTGGAGGTGGGGAAGGCTGTTTTCACTCTCCTCAGGCTCCTAGAAAGGCTCTGGAGCATGGGGAGAGCAAAAAACGGTCCTGCTGGGCCCACCGTGCCATCATGTGCCAAAAGCGCAGGGGAGTGCAGGGGAGGGGTCGTGTGCACATGCACAGGGGGCGGAGCGCATGGAATTATGGGTGTGGGCACGCGCGACACACACACACACCCCGCGCGACCCTTGCTTTTGGCACGCGATGTCAAAAAGGTTAGCCATCACTGCCCTACACAATTTCTGACAAATGGTAGTCCAGTCTCTTCTTGAAAGCCTCCAGTGTTGAAGCTCCCACAACTTCCAAAGGCAAGCTGTTCCATTGGTTGATTGTTCTCACTGGCAGAAAGTTCCTCCTCATTTCTAGGTTGAATCTCTCCTTATTCAGTTTTCATCCATTATTCTTTATCTGGCCTTCAGGTGCTTTGGAAAATAGCTTGACCCCCTCCTCTCTTGGGCAGCCCCTCAGATATTGGAACACTGCTATCATGTCTCCCCTGGTCCTTCTCTTCACTAGACCAGCCATGCCCAGTTCCTGTAACCGTTCTTCATACGTTTTAGTCTCCAGTCCCCTAATCATCCTGGTTGCTCTCCTCTGCACTTTTTCTAGAGTCCCAGCATCTTTTTTATAGTGTGGTGACCAAAACTGGATGCAGTACTCTAGGTGTGGTTTTACTAGGGCTTTATAGAGTGGCATTAGTACTTCCCTTGATCTTGATTGTATCCCTTTGTTAATGCAATTTAGGATTGCATTGGCTTTTTTGGCTGCTGGTTCATATATAGCTGGTTGTCCACTAAGACTCCAAGATCCCTCTCACAATCACAGCTATTAAGCCTGGTTTCACCCAGTTTATATGAGTACTTTTGGTTAACATTTCACTTCTCATCCAAGAAGCTTCTCCAGTTCAAAAGCATCTTTAGGAGAACTGTAATCTGGATGATTGAGAATCTCCATAGGCATGTTTTATTGCCCGTTTTATAGATTAAAACCTGGGAGAGTTTTAGATTTACTCTGAAGTAAATCCCAGTGTTTGCCCCTAAATTTAATTGAAGTAAGCAATCCAACATCTCCATCAATGGCATCTGCAGGATCATAAGATGTGGCCAAACTCTTGTATCTTAATATCTTTCTTCACACCACTGAAAGTCCAAGGGCCTCTTTAACATTTTACTAAATGTTTATAGCCAAATTTGCTGAACTGAATGGAATTTTCCCAGGCTCTCATATTAATGGTGGGATTAGCATGTTCTTTATTTCAATTTAGCAATTGATATAGAAATAAACAGACTTGGATATGAAATCCATGTTGTAGTTAGTAGCTCAAGTTACTAAAATTAATATTGTTGGGAATCAGGGATACATTATGTAGGCTGCCTGCAGTTCTTTGTGTAGTTATCTAGGAATAACAAATGTGCTTCAATCTAGAGCAGTGTCCCTTCACACACAACTGATTTCCCCCCACCAGCAGTTGTTGACTACAACTCCCATTACTGGTCAGGATGAGGGGAGTTGTAATCCAAACTATCTGGAAGGACCCAGATAAGCTGAAAAACGTGTTAGAGTCTGAATTCTTCAGCTCATTTCCTCAGAATGATCAGTTATTAAAGAGCACATTTCACACGGATCTCGCTAGAGTAAAAAGCCTTTTCAATAAATTTGAAATACTGTCTGATTTAGCTTCCTTACAAAGCCGGATCCAAAACATTCCACTAGAAAAGGGCAGGGGGGGGAACCTAATACATGCCTTTGCTTTATAAGGCAAAGCAGTTGACTCGGGGCCTCTCGAGAACCACCTCCTAAAACTTGAGCGATCCTGCTAAAAAGCGTTTATCCTTTTTATTTAAAAATCATGTTTCTCTCCACAGGCACACCAGTTTCTGAGCCTGCAAGTACCATTCCTAAAAATCAACAGGAACAATCGACTTTGTTCACAGAAGAGAACAAAGAAAAGAATTATGAGAGAAAAAAAGATATCTGAATTTGTTGCAGCAATCATATTCTTTAAGGCAGGGAGGTCCAATTGTTAAGTGGAATTTTATGACTCTGGGAGAATCCCTCTCAAGAATAGGCCCCAGAGTAGATGTTACCAAGATGAAACAACCTTCTGGGGTCATAACCACTTAACTGAACACTTGTGTCCCCCCCCCTTTTTTTTTTTACATGGGTTGCACATATAAAGTAAGTGAGAATTTAACTGCACGAGTTCAGCCACTATTTTGATTATTTAGACATTCCTTGGAGAAGTCCCTGAAGCCATCACTTAATGCAAAACACTAGCAGTCAGAAGACATGATGACGATTCTTTGATTTCACAACATATAGACAGATTTAACCATAGTTTCAATCGGGAAAATGTGATGATCCTAGACCCGTGATGGGGAATCTATGGCACGCGTGCAGGAAGTGGTACGCAGAGCCATCTGTATAGGTGCGCCAGTCATCACCCGTTACTCTTCTGGGTTCCAGGGCATGCATGCGTGCTGGCCAGTTGGTCTTCATGCGCACATGCACGCCAGAAACTGGAACACCAGGTGACCGCCCTGCATGCGCACACTAGAAACCGGAACCTATGGCACACATGCCAGAAGTGTCATGCAGAGCCATCTCTCCAGGCATACCAGCCATCGCCTGTTGCTCTTCCGTTTTCTGGTGCATGCATGCGTGCCGGCCAGATGGTCTAACTGCTCTTCCGGTTTCTGGCACTCCCAGTGTGTATGCTGGGGAGCTGCTTTTCTGGTTTCCAGTGCTCCCCTGCGCCTGCGCTCCCTTTTCAGCACTTGGTGGAAGAAAGATTCACCAACACTGTCCTAGACCAAGCCAAGTCCAAAAATGGCAGGGAATTTCTAGAAGCCTGGCACTCTGACAAATTAGCCATCAATAGACAGAAGACATTAACAAAATCTATGGACTATGCAAAAGAGATAATCAATCAGCCAAAAAGGAACTAAAAGACTGAAGCACTGTCCACCAGCAATCAGCACCCAGATCAGCATGGATTAACTCCAAGGTTAACATCAGCCCAACAATCAAGTAAACAATATCCCCAATCAAGAAACTGCCAAAAAAGCCAACAGCAAACACCCCAACCAAAGAATCTCTAAGACCACTCCCAACAACACCGACAGGGAAAGTCACCAGAATATAAACTGTCGGCAAACCCCACACCTTACTAGCACTGATGATGTTACCTACTTTGGGTAATGAAACGTCTGCAAGAAAACAAGCAAGCTCAGAGGGCACCAAGGACAGACCCCTCATGCAAAACACTAGACTGGGCTATCCCCCACTTTATTAAAGAGGCCTTGGAAGTCTAAGGGGGACCCAGAAGCATGCCTAGAAGTACAGATCCCTTGAAGTTGGTCTCTTGCTTGATTGCTTGCTGATTTCCCATTTATTCGTTTTTTGTAATTAAGGGCAAGAAACTTGGCACACTCCAAGGAAGGGTCAATAGACACATTATTGAGGACAACGGTTGTAGCTTGTAAAGGATAAAAGAACTTATAATGCTTGTAAAGGATAAAAGAACTCCTTCTAACTTCTTCTGACTGAATGAAGGAGAGGGTGAAAGCAGGAAGTGGGAATAAAAGGATTCACAGCAGCCAACCAAAAACAGTAGTAGAGCTGAATAGGTAACAAAATTTGAACAGAATTTTGGTCTTTTGTTAGAGCAAGGGATGGTCTCTGATAAGCAAAAGTTTCTAGTTTTTAATGCTGTACCCTTTGAGAAGGGAACATCTCACTCTGATGGGACTGGCCTGCCCCAGGGACACCAGCAGAGGGGTCATATTGCAGATCCCATCAATCAAGGAATTTGGGCTGCCGGGATCTAGGTCAATGGCCTTCTCTGTTGTGGCTCCTGCCCTTTGGAATATCTTACCTCCCGAGGTAAAATCAGCTCCTATCTTTTGACCTTCTGTAAGGGCCTAAAGATCTGGATCTGCCAGGTGGCTTGGGACCCCAATGGGGGAGTATCATAATGAAGGTGCTTGATTAATTGTTAATTCC